TATTAACCTTTTGGGGCATTTCCTTCAAGCCTTCCTTAAAAGTTTTATGCTTTGTTTTATGTTTAAACCAGATAGGTAGGGCTGGTGATACAGCTCAGTGGCCTAGCACCTGCCTGACAAGTGTGAGGTCCTGAGTTTGATTCCCAGTACCCCAAAAACATTCTTCCTAAACTAGATAAGTAATTTCATATTCCGGATTTTCATATAGTAACAGTATGTACTTTTAATAACCATGTCCAAATAAAATCAGCATAACTTACTTAAATATTCCTTCAGGAGTTTAGATTGTTTCCTTTTGGTTATAGAACTAAAAACATTTTACACATAAAACTTTGGGAATTTATGATTATTTTCCCAACCAGATTCCATATCAATATCAGTATGGAAATATGGAGCATATCAATATGAAAATTAAAATCTGAATAAAGCTTTTTTTGTATAATTTTATACTTTTTTAAAAATGTGAAATATTAGAATAAGTTCAGTAGGGATTTGTATACTCAATAATTTCCTTAGGAAATGCTGCAATTTATAGTTACTTGAACAAAATGATAGAAATGTAAAGCATGAAAGCTGACTTGGAAGATTTTGTTCCTTTTTAAGTAAGAGAAAATATTTTTCAAAATATTTAATTCTTCAATTTGTCTCCTAATAGCTCAGGAGACAGCTCATCCGGCTTCTCACAAAGGAAGATGACAGGTGCTGAGCAAGGAGGGGTCTAACGGCGCAGTGTTGAGTTGCTGGGGTCCTTGCTGCAGAGGTGCAGAGCATTTTCTGTTTGAAAGATCTGTCACAGTAGAAATAGTATTCATTGTCTTCCCTGGTCTCTTCGTCAGGCACACCCCCTTGTGGAACACTAATCATCAGGTTTGCACGTTTATTCTGAGCTGACGTGTTAAGCAGGGGAAGACTCAGTGGAAGCCGGTTGCACACTAGTGTGGTTAAGAGTGCTGGTACGATAGTGTGAACCTGTATTAGAAGGAACTTGCTTTTCTAACTTGGAGATTTCTTCCTCCCTCCCTCCCTCCCTCCCTCCCTCCCTTCCTTCCTTCCTTCCTTCCTTCCTTCTTTCCTTCCTTCTCTCTTTCTCTCTGTCTTTCTTTCTGTCTTTTTGTCTTTCTTTCCAGGGTCTTACTATGTAGCCTGGGCTGGCCTCAAACTCACTGCATTTTTCTTGCCTCAGCCTGCCGAGTGCTGGGATTACAGGCGTGTGTGTCACCACACCCAGCTAATTAGTACTTTCTTGCTTTGTCTAAGCTAAAAATATCAGGACCTTGCAGACAGGATATATTTGGATTCAGAGATAAAAGATTTTTCAGTTTCATACTTTAACTTTACAGATGGGGAACTTTGAAGCCCAGGTTAGGTAGACAAATGAAATGAGTGAACAAATTTAGAAACTGACAGGGCCAGAACCAGAAAGCAGACCTTCTAATACATCAGCTCTCAGTTTCTCTCACGTTAGCTGCGGAGAGGGGGAGACGTGTCACACCTCGGATTGTGTTGGCTGATCCCACACATCACACTGAGAAACACATTCCAAGAGCCTCGGTCACTGCCGTTTTTTAGTTTGCTTTGCCCTTGCCCTCCCTACTCCCATTTTCCTCAGACCTCACCTGTTTAGGTACACTCGGGTCACTTGTCCCCGTGTCCTAGGGGGACTGGGTTACTCCTGGCTGTCAGTGTCACTCCATAAATCTGCCACCATGTGGCACTTCCTCGAGACAGAGAGGCTCCTGGGTGTAAGAGCCCTTGTGGCAGCCAGTACTTGCGCAGGGTGGTGATTAGGTTTGCAGAAAGCAGGGATATATTTATTCTCTCAGGTCGTCACATCGGGTGGTGGAAGTCCGCAGAGGATGGTCGCGTTTAAATGGTATCTTTTAGGGGTTCTGTGTAGTTCACTTTCCTGCTGTGCTGATAATCGAAGTCTGCAGTGATGACCAAGTGCTGCTTTGCCTCATAAATTCAGCCTACAATTTTTAGCCATTGGAAATGGTGGTAATAAACACTAGGAAGATTGAGTAAAGAAAAAACACAACACCATGGGACGTGGGTTAAAGACCAAGTCATTTGTGAATAAGGTTAACAGGAGGCGTTAATATACAACATAGTACGGGCCAGGGGGTTAGCTCAGGGGTGTAGCGCCTGCCTGGCAAGCGTGAGGTCTTGAGTTCAATTCCTAGTACTGCACCCCCCAAACCAAACACAGTAAAGGTCTGTGCCACTTCTAAGGTAGAGACCTTCCTTGGGAGAAGTTTCCAGACAGGAATCTATCGTGCCACCTCAGAGTTAGAAATTATGACCTCAAAGTTTGGTAAGATGATGGCTTGCTTGGGCTTTGGGTATGCTGATGTTTCTCAGGCCCTACATCCCAGATTGCTTCATTTTTTCCAGCGCGGACCACTAGAGGGGGCCCTTGACACGGTAACCCTCCTCTGTTTTTTCAATCAGACTTTCCTTAGCGTTCAGGAGCCCTGAGCTGGTCGCAGTGTGATACTCCTGTGACTTCTCTGGTACAGCAGTTTCTGAGCTAAGTGTTCACGGCGTGCGGCTCAGGCATGGATTGATGCTTTTAGTCCGAGTTAACTAATGCTCACCACAGGTTGTGTTACTGCTCACAGTTACCCAGCAGCTGCTCAGTGGGATCTGGTTATCAGATTGGCAGCCCTTCTTGCAACAGCCCTGCTTGTTTCTCCCCAGAGCAGCAGTTTCCTCTGCCCGTGTCTCCTGAAGACTTCTAAGTCCAGAAGAGGTGGTTCTGGTTCTTTCCTGTTCCTGTCTCCAACCTGGCCCGCCTTCGTCAAGTCCGCATCTGTTACACTGGCTTCCAGTTCACTGTTTCTAAGTGCTCTGCCCCATGAAAGTCTTGAGCTCAAGTTTGGGTCTCCTGTGTTCTCTCAGAGTGATGGAAACACTTGCTGATTTTTTGAATCAGAAAACTTACTGGTAGCCTTGGAGAAGGCACCGTTACCCTCTTTAGGACGGACCCAGAAGTCCGCATTCTCTGCTGCTTGAGGACAAAGGCTGCTCACCCAAGGGATGAGAAGCAGGCGTGCAAGCTGCGCCCACACTGCCCTGCTGCGTCACCCGGCCTCCGCGCTGCGGCGTCTGCCTCCATGCTGGTCTGAATGCTGGCGCGGGCACGGCCTCGTGCGGGACTGGGTGTAAGGAATGAGTAGATACGTGAGCAGCAGGGGGTTCAGTGCCTGCTTTGTTTTTGTTTTCTCCTGCCTCAGCCTCAGTCTCAGCCTGCAAAGTGCTGGGATTACAGGCATGTGCCGCAACACCAGCTGGTGGTTCAGCTCTGAGGTGAGTGTGTGTGTCCTTTGTCCCGTTTGTGAGGAATCCCAAGAAGTCACTGAAGCTGGATGCCACAGAGGCTTTTCTAGTGACTTTACTCTTTGTTTTGTTTTCTTGTGGAGGTGCTTCTGGGGTATCTGTCCATCTCCCCTCTGCCCTTGGCTGCGTAGGACAAAAAGACATTTGATTATGGGGAATTTTTTCTTTTTTTTTTTTTTTTTTTTCTTTTTTTTGGGTATCTTTTGAGACAGGGTCTTGCCGTGCAGTTCAGGCTGCCCTTGAGCTCACTTTGTAGACCAGGCTGGTCTCGAACTTACAACGATCCTCCTGCCTCAGCCTCCCAAGTGCTGGGAGTACAGGTGTGCGCCACCACGCCTGGCATTATGAGGGATTTCTTGATCCTTTGAGGCAGAGGCTTGGTCTTTCAGAGTCAGCAGCTTTGCTGTATATGGCTGTGGACGGGCTTCCCTCGTCTGAGGGACAGTTTCCTCCAAGGTACTAACCGCCCCTTCATTATCTCACTTCAGTGCAGCAACTCAGGGTAGTGGTAACCCCGTGCTGCAGAGGGGAACCCAGGTCCCTGGGGAGTGAAGTAATAATAACTTAGTGTTATTGGTAATAATAACTTGCCTCAAAATTCCTTTTGGAGATGGAGCTGAGAGTAGAGCCCTGGTTCCTCCCACCCCACCAGGCCCCTGTGGCTGCTGTCAGCACTCAGAAGATGTTCGTACCAAGGCCTGCAGGGAGAGCAGCCGCAGACCTGGCGGGTGTGTGGGGTATTTCCTGCGCTTGCCTTCCCTCCCGGCAGGAGTGGAAGGCTCGGTGTGAACGAGATCCTGGGGCCTGCAGCCTCTTTGCAGTATCTGAGAAGGAGCTGCAAGTCCAAAGCCAGCAGCCCCTTCCTGTCTGAGGGCCCACAAGTCTTTGGCAGTAGGTTGCGGGCCGCGCGCCTTTGATCCAGCCCTCCCCAGCGTTAACCTTCAGCTCCTCTTACCGCCCCCAGCCCTAGTCTCCTAACTCTCAAAGGGAGGGCTTCCGCCCCAAGCACCAGTCCACCACGTGGAGCACAGCTTTCCCGGGAGCCTGGGTCCCTTCTTACCCCCTGTCCAGTTGGAAAGAACAAGTCTGCGCTTCTGCCCCCTCTCCTTTGTCTCTTGGTCCTCAGGTCCACTGACTTTGCCTCATTTGTAGTTTGCAGATAGGGGAGCGTTTTAAGCAAGAACCTTGGTGTTTGAGGTAGGGAGGGATGTGGGAGTCGACACAACTAAGAGTAGTTCTAGGTCGACAAGCTACTGCTGGACGCAGGAGGTTAGGCTCAGGGAACTTGATTTGTCCTGCCAAGCTGCAGGCTCTGAGGTCTTGGTGAGGCTCGTCCCTGTCGGGGCCCTCTGTAACCCCTCTTCTCCAACAGGTGGCGTCCCAAGAGGGAGCAGGGAAGAACTCTCATCTGAATCGGCCTCTGTTGATTCCTCCACTGTTCTTTTCCTCTTGCTTTAAGAACAGAATCCTTATTATTTTAGGGTGAAGTGTTTCTTCATGACCTACCTTGTGAGCTCTGTGTGTTGGGACCATGTGTCTGACTATCTTTTGTTGTTTTTGCCATTTTTATCCAGTGTTTATTGAATGGCTAAATTATTGGTAATAATAACTGGCGCTTACGAGACTCTCTACAGAGTGATTATAATCTTTCTGGCAGACGAGCCTCACAACAGCGTTGAAAGAGGACCTGCTGTTCTCCTCATGTTCCAGGAAAGGGACTGAGCGTCAGAGAGGCTATTACCCACCTTGACCATGCAGCTGTGCTCGGGAAAAGGCAGCCTCCAGCCCAGGCCTCTTCAACTCCAAAGGTGGAGAAATGTGACTGGGGCAGTGAGGGGGCTTTCAGCTGCAGGCGGCAGCTCCTGCAGCACCCCAGGCTTCCTCTTGCCTAGTTTGTCTTCCTCGTGGTTCTCTTTAGGTCCTACCCAGGCAGTAGTGGGGAGCAGGTACCAGAGAGCAGCTGTGGGCATTCTGCGGGCCCACTTTCCCTCACCCTAGGTGTGCACCTGGTGGCCAGGTAAGATTCCTGAAGAACTTCACCATGCAGTTGTGCGGGAACGTGTGCAGGACCTACTTGCGACTTCACGCAGGAGTCTGTAGCATCTTAGCCAAGCAGAGGGCTCTCGTCTAACCCCACGATGCTCAGGCCTGCCACGTCATTAGATACACTTGCAGGGGCTGGTGACGTGCGACTTGCCCAGTCTCTGCCCTCAGAGCTTAAATCAGCAGGTTTGTGGCAGGGACCAGGCGGGCCCTGGGAGAGACCTGCTAACCTGAGGAATCTGTTGGCCTCTGGGGTCAGGTCTACGGCAGCCACTGACCTCTGGGGCAAACAGTGGTCTGCACACCTGGGAGAAATCCTTCCACAGTCTCTAGGGAAGTCTTGTGAAAGCCAAATGAGGGTGACCACATCAGCGCTGGGTCCTGTAGCCCAGCAGGGTGAGTCCCGCTCCTCGGCAAAACCCCAAGGGCCTGAACAGAAGTAACCTTGATCCTTGGGCCAGAGGAGCAGATCCTCACTGTCTGCCATCTGCCGTATTCGCTCACCTCCCCACCAAAAGTTGGCATTAGTAAGCTCTCCAGAGCCTTCAGCCTCTACCCCAAGCCCTGAAACCTTCCTCTTACCTCCTGGGCAGTTTTTCTGATCTCAACCTTGAACCCCTCCTTGGTGGATGCCAGGTTTTCTCATCAGCCTCCTCTCTTACGTTTAGGGAAAGGGACCAGCATGCTGGCTTGTTGACGCTTCAGTTCACCATTCATGCTTTTGTTCAGCAATCACGCTTTTGTTGTCTGCCCCCGCGCGCCCACCCTACACACTGACACCATCACACACCCACGCGTTTCTGCCGCCTCCTAAGCGTCACCTGCCTCCTCGGCGCAGGTGCACCCCACCTGGGGCTCGGCCTTTCCGTCCGTCCTTGGGAGCTGCATGGCTTCCCCCCTCTTGCTCCCGCTCTCTGTTCTCCGAGGCACCTGCCCTGACTCTGTCCTCCTCCTGAAACTTGAGATCAGTGATGAAGCATAATTTCAGAAAGCTGGAAACACGATGCTCGATGCTATAGGGAGCATGAACCGGGGGTTTATCTCATTAATTGGAACCAGCAGGAGGATCAAAGTTAAAGGGCAATAAAACCATGTATCTTTTCCCACCAACAACTCACTTCCAACGTATCAGTTCTCTGTTTCTCTGTAAGTTGATATCCCATTTTATAGATACAGGTTTTAGTCAGTGGAAGAGAGTGCGTCAAACAAAGCCACCTTCCCCTAGTGCAGTGATGGCAGACCTTTTAGAGTGGGGTGAGTGGCCCACTGAGGCACGCATGCCGTGGGTTTGCCACTGCTGTCCTGGGGTGTCTGCTGCCCCTCAGAGGCCTGCTGGACCATGCTCCTCAGGTGGCTCGCGGACTCGGGGCTGGCAGGCAAGCCCAGCTGCGCGGGTGTGCAGAGTGGTAGGAAGGGGAAGCGTGGCAGTGAGTGTGTGTAGGTTTCTGCCCCAAGGCGTGGTAATTGGGGGCAGGGAGGGAGTGCGCTGGTTTTACTTAATCATTCAGTGAAGATCTGGGATATAAAAGCCTGTGAGGTAAGTGGGATGATTAACCAACTTTTCAGATGATGAAACTGAAGTTTGCATTAGGAGCACACCCAGGAGTCACCAAATTAAGTAAATCTCATAATCTAGGCCTGTGTCCCATGAGCCAGTAGTGTGGGGGCCTGGGTGGGAGGTGGAGGGGATTGTGTGTGTGTGTGTGTGTGTGTGTGTGTGTGTGTGTGTGCACGTGTTCATGTACTGCGTAGGAGGCAGGGGGAGTTTGCTGCAGCAGCAGGTGCAGAGCCCAGGCCTGGTGTGACACTGCCCCTTTAAACAAAGCCAACTGCAGGAGTCCACACATCCTGCTGAAGGGCCTTGGGCCTGGGATGAGCTCCAAGGTGGGGCCACGTTGAGGATGGCTGCTGGCTGCGCCTGTGACAAATTGGTACTCTGGCGTCACCATTGTTCCCAGGAAGCGTGGGCCCCTACCCTCCTGTGCACTTCAAGAAGGGGTTGTCTGTAACTGGAGTGGAGGCTGTGATGGTGGCAGCTGTGACAGGGGCCCAAGGAGGGGGCTGGGGTGGGGGGAGGAGGGCTGGGGTGGGACTTGTCTTCACGCGTCATCCTGAGGCAGCTCTCCGGGCCCTTGCTCCGGTGTCTGCCTCAGCGTCCCCAGTGACGGCCTTATAGCCTGTCCCCTGTTGTCACATTACGGGAGGCCTCAGGAAGCTCCACCCACCAAGGGAGCAGTCCACATGGACTCTGGAAGGCGTAGGATTTGAATCCTGGCCCTACAGGTGTCAGGTCTTTATCTCTGTTTCTGCTCTGCTAAAATGAGAGTACACTAGGGGGCGTAGTAGTGCATGCCTATACTCCCAGACACCAGAGGCTGAGGCCGGAAAATCGCGTATTCTAGGCCAGCCTGGGCAATTTAGCAAGACCTTAGCTCAAAGTAAATTAATAAGGGCTAGAGATGTGGCTCAGTGGTACAGCACTTGCCATGCAGTGCAAGGCCCTGGATTCAGTCCCCAGCACTGTACAGACAAAACAGAGACATCATGGGAAACTGTCTTTAAAGGTGGATGAAGAATTAAGAAGAATGCCTTGTACACAGTGCTTTCTCCATAAGAACAAGGCTTACGTTTTTGTGCCAGATATTATACAAATCACATTCTTAGTACTGGGGCCAGGAAAATCTTAAGAAAATCTTTTTTGAGATCTAGGCTAAGGTCGGAGGGTTGCTTGAGCCCAGGGGTTCAAAGCCAGCCTGGGCAATGGAGTAAGACCTTGACTCAAAAGCAAAAATGATAATAATTTTTTTTTTTTTTTTCCGGTACTGGGAATTGAACTCACGACCTTGCGCTTGCCAGGCAGGTGCTGTGCCACTGAGCTAAATCCCCAGCCCCAATAATAATAAATTAAAATCCATGCTCACCTGGGCATGGTGACTCATGCCTGTCATCCCAGCACTCAGGAGGCTGAAGCAGGAGGATTGCCATGAGTCTGAGGCCAGACAAGACCACAGAGAGAGTTCAAGGCCAGGCTGAAGTACATAGCAAGACCCTGTCTCAAATAAACCAACTCAAACCAAACCAAAACAAAACCCATGTTTACAAAACCGAGGGGTATATATGCTCACTCTGGAAAGGACTTGACAGGCAGCTTCTCAGGATGGTGAGTTATCATACGTGCATCTATTTTTGGGCAGCAAATGACCCCAAAACTCAGGTCAAACAACCCCCATTTTACTGTCTCCTGACTGAGAACCAGGCAGCGCTCAGCGAGGTGGTATTAAGCGTGGTCACCTAACTGGGACTGTGTGGGCAGATGGACTGGAGTGTCCAAAATGGTGTCACTCCTGTCAGGTGAGTTGTCGGGGGTGACCAGAAGTCTGAGCACCGTCACCCCAAGGTCTCAAGGGCTCTCTCTGGCCCGGAGGCTCCAGGGCAGCTGGACTGCTTACACAGCAGCTCAGGGTTCCAAGGAGAGTGTCACCAAATGGCTAAGGTGGAATCTGGTGGCCTTCTGATAGTCCAGCCTTGGAAGTCTCACATCCAAATCACTGGATTTTCCAGGCATGGCGCTGTGTCCAGCCTGGCTCCAAGGGAGCGGAGCTGGGCCCCTCCTCTCCATGGAAGAAAAGCCAAGCTTTTGCGGTCATCTTTAATCTACACTGGTGCCCTCAAAAAGGATCTTTTGAAGTGGATTGTTGTACAGCATCCTCCCAGGGTCATCTTGGGGAAGTAGAAAGAGCCCTGAATTGGCCACCAGGGAACCTGGGTTTGCACGCAGCCGGTCATCGCTCTGGGCTCTGCTACCTTCAGAGCCCCGCACCAGACGCTGCGACCCTGAAGGGAGGACAGGCGATATTCTTGCGTTCTAGATCTCAGCACGGGCCTACCTTTGATGTGGTGGCTTTCCAAGTCCCGTCCCTTCTCATGCCCGCTTCCCTGTGAGCAGAGTGAGGAGGAGGTTGGAACTGCTGCTCCCAAGCTTTTCCCCAGCACAGCTCCTTGGGGTTGCCTGGCTTCATCCCGGCTTTCCAGTTCTAGAGGGGCCTGTGGGCCTCTCAGCAAAGTACAGAAAAACAACTCTGCGAAGCTCATCGGGGAAGAGGCAGGTGGCCTGTTTAGAAATAAATTCATAGCAAGACACCTTTAAATTCCCAGATTTCTCAGCATTCAAGAACAGCAGTGATTGTACCAAAATGGGAATTACTGGCCACCTACTCTGTGAACACTGGGGTGTGGGGGCCTTGGGGTTTGCAACGCTGGCTGGGCCAAGGTGGAAGGAGGAGGCCCAGGCGATGCAGCGCTCTGCCACTGGCTCTAGACTGCTCTTGCTTGGAGCGGTCCCCAGAACAAGCAAGAAGTCCAGACTGGGGTCTCCAAAGAGCCCAGCAGACCCGAAATGTCCCTGGCTCTGCCCTTGAAGAACACCCTAAAGTCTCCATTCCGCTGCACATCCACGGGCCAGACCATCCCAGAGAGAGGAAGGCAGCCATGCCTGGCCACCAGTGCAGAAAGTGTGTGTGTGTGTGCGTGCGCGCACAAGGAGTATTCTGGCCTGCAGCCAGGGCTGTGGGATTTACAGTCATCCTGGGGACTGTAAATACTTCAAGCAGCTTTTTTATTTTGAGGCCATGAGTAATAGAGCCAGCTGTGTGCGGTATCCACAGCCAGCCGTGCCTCTTCCAACTTGCAAACACACACACACATTTACACCTGTCGCACTCACACCTGCACTCACAGCATGCACAGGGAAGCATCTTTAAGGAGAGTTTGTATCCTGTGCTAGGTGTGTGCTCAGTGCTTTCATTAAGGACAGCGACTCTTTCAGGTGGGGCCTACTAGCCCCATTTTGTGGATGAAGAAACTAAGCCAAAGGGAGTAAGTTAACTTCCCCCAAAAGATCCACAGCTAGTAAGGAGCAGAAAAAGAACTGGAGCCCCTGGCCCCTTCCCACCAGCTTAGGCCCATCTGCAGACCCAGTCCAACACAGCTGGACCTTGCTTAACGTCATCTCTTTTTGGTATATAATAAGGAAATTAGACCTAAGATGCATCACAAAATAAATGAGTGATAAATTCAAATGCATTTTAAAAAGCCCTGCACGGCCAAAAAATATTCCACAAGCAAAGCTAGAAGGCAAACAAGCTTGGACAAAAGGTGCTACTAATAGTAAAGCAAAAGACTAACCTCCAGAATATATAGAGTTCCTAGTCATTTGTAAGAAAAAGACCAAAACCTGGTTTGGTTTTGTTTTTTAAATGGGCAAGGGGTGAAGATGGTTTCAGAAAAAGAAATGGATCTTAATCTAATGATTAACCTAACCTCACCAAAAGATTAAGACAAATGTAAGCGATGGTGACATTTATATCCAACAAATGGTGCAATTCTACATCATTCAGAGAAACCCTACAGATAGCTCGCTTTTCATTTTTAAAACGGGCAAAAGTTTTTCACAGACACATCACAAAAGCCAGTGCAACAGACAGTCTTAAGGGACCGGAAGTGGAAATAAGGAGTTAGCGCCGCACACCCACCAGCGGGGCCGAAGGTGACACACCGGAGAGCAGTCCTGCCTTATCCTTTGCTTTGCTTCCTATGCGCTATCAGTTACCCACAGCCAACCCCAGTCTGAAAATATGAAATGGGGAGTTCCAGGAAGAAGAAACTGCTCAGCTTGAAGCTGCTTGCTGTTCTGACACGCGCAATGAGCTCTGGAGCCTCTCCTCTCCCTGGCCCTCGGGATGTGAATCATGTGTTTGTCAGGTCTCCACCCTGGCTGCCCCACCCCTCACTGGTCACCCAGGCTGGATCTTAGTGATCAGATCCATCGTGCTGGGGTGCTTGTGTTCAGTGGCCCTTATTTTACTTATTAATGGCCCCACAGTGCAGGGGTGGTACTGCTGGCAATTCTGCTATGCAAAGAGGAACCATT